ACACTTCAACCGAGCTCTGTTATCGAAGTACCCAACAGGCAGAACACCCAGCTCGCGATGGACAGTTCACGCCACGAACTTAAGATCCCGACCGCGATCTTGATTTTGTTCCAAGGATCCCTACTCTACCCCCTCGACACATCCCAACATGTGTCGTCCACAACCAAGGTCGAGCATAAACCTCCACTCATGAAAATTACAAATTTTCACAAAATAAACAATTACCTCACCAGTCCAGAAGATCCATCTCCTTCACCTACAAGGACAACGACCATCTCCGTGACCTTCATCAAACCAACCATCCTGAAAGGCAAGTGCTTCCTTCGACCCTCCTCATCGAGGCACCTGATAATGTCAGACTCAGCATTAGACACAATCAAAGGGAAACCCTCGAAGAAATCCTTTTCCACAAAATAAGGGGGAAGGTTGAAGGCCCGGCTAGTCACCCCCTCCTCGACCGCACTTGCAAGTCCACCTTTGGGATGACTTCTCCTCTTTCTCAACACAATCGCGTGTGTGCAGCGTCGCGGGCACCCGATGACCCACTCGAACCATCCCTGGCCGACTCTGAGACCGAACCAAGGCATATGGGATGGTGCGACTTCACCAACCTCTTATGATTCTTCTTTTCCTGGGATCAGCTTCAGCATTCATTCACGACGCTCCTCCATGTTACCTGCAAAAACAAAAACAATATCCTCGGGTTAGTCTCATTAGAAGGACATAAACAAATAGCTCAAGAATTAAAAATACAATAAATCACGCGAGCAGAAACCTAGAAGGTTCACGGCTTGCCCATAGGTTCGACATTCAACGAGCACATTAGTGTTGATCGAGCGCGCCTCGAACGTTGGTTCTCCATCTTCGTCAAGGATGTCATGTCCTTGCCTTGTGACCCACCTCGAGGGAAAGAACCCATCGACGAATCAATTAAGGACACTAATGACTCTTCATCCTCGGCACTCATACTGCCGACATGGGTGTGGTAATGACCAGGAGTATGCTTAAAGTGGCCCGAGCACCAGTCGATAGGAAATTTTGAAAGTCGCCCAATCTCTGGATTGCCTTCCTCGTCATAGCATACCTCCCCGTCTTTATCCACTACTTGAACCGGGCCGAACACGACATCCACGGCCACCTGAGACGAAGGTTGCCCGACGTAACATCTATCCTTGAAGTCACGAACAGAATCCATGTACATCCTAAACAGTCTCTTCGACTATTTCAAGGAAACCCAACTATGTTTCCCACCCCTAGATTGCCGTTTGAGGTGGAAAACCCTGAAGAACAGAGGAATGGTTTCCCCGATCCTCAGGAACCGATAAGTGATTTTGAAAGCCCGGAGGATGGCGATCGCATTAGGATGTAATTGAGAGGGTGTCGGGCTCAAATGGTTAAGCACGCGCATCTAGAAATCATTAAAGGGCAAATGAATCCCCAAGTCTTTGAAGACGAGCTCATACATAGGGAAGCGGTCCTCCTCGAATCCATGCATATTCTGGCCGTGGGAGTCGGTCGCAGGATCGTGAAGTTCCGACGAAAAACCTTCCATATCGCCGCCATGCTTGACAACGGTATATGCTTCCCTTCTGCTATAACTATAGACCGAAGCTATCCCTCTAGGTTCTGGCCCGACCCAAGATAGCGCAGAGTCATCGACCGTGTCGACCAAATGGATCCCTTCCTCGACTGTACTTGTCTCTTCGATATCTATGTGCTCGGACGATTCCGGAGTATCAACCATTTCACCTGTAAAGCAGAGGAAATCAGTGAATTCGACAACAAAATCACATCTATCCTTCCTCCGCAGCACATGTGAAAGGGGATAGCTGCCCCCAAACTAGGTCGACGATCACTCGTGCAGTGGGGAACATACATGACCCACGATCAACACATGGAATTTATACGAATCTCATAAGATCACTCAACAATGATAATAACAAAATGCATGTTTCATTGGTAACGCGGGTATAAGATAAATATCACGAGCATCTCCACGAATGCTGCGAGGAACATACGAATTTGCCGGACAAATTCATGAATTCACCGGGGAGTATATAAATTCCCCGCGCAAGACTCATGACTTTCGCAGGGAACAGATGAATGTCACATGTATTTTCATGAATTTCGCGGGGAAGAAATGAATATCACGAGCCCACTCGCAAATGTAACGCATGAATGTATGAACGCCCTGAGAACCCCCCCCCCCCCCCCCGGTAATGAAATTCTATAAGGAATCATCAATAAAGCCAATCGTAAACAGCATTCAATGCAGAAAACACTTACTTGATCAAGAGTAGACGGAGAATTCGCGGCGGGCCTTACGGAAATGTTGATGAAGGGAAGACAGAGAAGCGGTACATGCGACAGAGAAAGTGAGAAAGCAAAAGTTGAAATATGGAAAATGGGCCCCAAGCCACTATATATAGGGCTGACATGGAATACGAAGCGTCGCATCGGGCAGACCATCGACTGCCTTTCTCCTCGCCACTTACGCACTCAAGTGATAATGACCCCTACTCCCTAGGCCATCATTACTATCCCAAAGGTCAGGCCACGTGCCCACACCTTGCATGGTTTCCTCTCCCTGCGAGTCGAGGAATAACCGAAACGTTCCCCATCAAGCCAATTCCAACCTCTGCTCGAGTAAACGCGGATCCTAACGACCCTCTCCCTTGATGCAGTAAAAGATCCCCGACGAAGTTATGCTCACCATAAGGAGAAGTTGGACTTAAGTCATAACTCCTTCATCCGGAGAAACGACTTGGGGGGATCCTGTTTTGGACTGGGCCTGCACTTGACCCAACTTCATACGAGGCCCAATCCAACTATGTTGCTCGAGGAGGCTACTGATTGAGTCCGCCCTCAACTATGTCGGACATTAACCTCACCCTTCGTGAAAACACGGCTCCGCCGTACGGGGATGAATCCAGAAATCGCGAGGAGGACTCGTCGCCGGTCAGGAGGACCTCGCGAGCATCCTTCACTTTTCTCGTCGACCAAGACAAGCCCTCTTGGACGACCTCACAGCTGGCGAGGAGGGCTTACGACGATGTAAGGACACCGCGAACCTCCTCCTTGTAGGGTTGACTTATCACACCCCCGTATATCACATAGTCCTCTTGGTCCCGAAAAGACCACATCCATATCCTCCTGACTATTTGGGGGAGTCCATCTAGGTTGGAGACCACGTGTTGGCCCTACTACACACGTAGGACCTGACAGTCTCCATTTTGGGCCTGCTTGCCCAACCCAACAATGGGGACCTTGGCCCAGTGCTAAGGGCTATAAATACCCTCTCTCTTGAGAGAGTCAGGTATTCACTCTTTCATACTCACTCTCATACTTGCTCGCACTGCTCTGAACCTTACTTTGGCGTCGGAGTATCTTGCAAGTACCTCCCAACTAACTTCCAATTGCTGCTCAACTCACAGCTTATAGGCCTTGACGATCTACTCTTGTTGGGTATGATCACATTCCTATAGACGATAATTTGAAAAAGCTTTCCCGTCGTACTTTGACAAAACTTTTTCAAAACCAAATTTTATTTGGATATTTTTAAAGGGGTATTTATTCACCCCCTCTAGATATTGTTGTCGTCGTCTAATAGTTGAACACTTAGGTTAATTGATGCTTGACGATTCTTGATGAACTTTTTGCGAAGTGACTTGATTTTATAATAATGGAGTTTGAGAGAGTTGGGTGTTTTGTGTTTGAAAGTTTCTATAAAGGGAGGGAAAAAGGCAGCACAAATCGGAAATATACATATGGTTGCAACCGTGAATATATTTTTGGTTCCTATATTGGATTGAGCTTGGATTCCAAGGCCACGGAGTTGTTGTGTGTGTTTGGATGTGTGTTTGGGTGAAACTGGAAATACATTTACGGCTGCAACCGGATATATAATTCTGATTTACACCTAAACTTTTTATACAATTTATATCTGGTAAGATGCGTACCGAAAATATATTTCTGATTTTAAAGGAAATTTTTGAAAATTTTAAAATTTCACATGATGCATTAGAAAACTCTAGTATAAAAAAAGAAATCCTCAAGATTAATCTCTCAATGGGAGTAGCCCAAATACTTTTCTTAAAACATTTAGTATTTAGCTATTGATTAATAATTAATTTACAAAATAAACTACCTTAAGAACAATTTTTAAATAATAATTAAGAATATTTTATATTTAAATAATTTTTTTGGAGTGTTCACCGTATACGGGTGTAGGGCTGTTTTCGGTCTGGGTATTTGCTCTTCTGAGAACTGGACCGAAATAGTAATCGGGTAAATCGAGACCGAACCGAAATATTGATGGATTTTTTTGAGACCGGAATCGGATCGATACTTTTTGGTATTTATCGGGTACTTAGTCTGAACGGGACCGAACTTTATATTGACCTGGAATTTGGATGGAAGAATATATACTAATCACTGTAAGATACTTATTTGACATTTGGTCCGGTTCTATTGTTGGATATCGGACAAAAAAATTACCCATCCCAGACCGAGTAGCATTTTGATCGGTCCATTGATTCAGTTCTATTGATCCGGTTCTCGATCCGGATCACAAGTAATGAGGCCCAAATACAGCCCTATATGGGTGGTCATTAAAAATTATCCTATAATTTTTTTTCTTCCATATTGTGACTTTTACACATTTGATATAATAAGCACACATTTTATTTGGGAATTGTAGGATCATATAGCTAGGAATTTCTAGTACGTTTTATTCTCCATGCATGCATTTAGCGAGGAACCTTTCAATTGCTCAAACATCGAAGACCCTCCTATTGTAACAGCCAAACTGTACTAACTCGTCCAATTCCACTCTAAATCTCTACTAAATTCCATTAACTGCAAGATACCAAACGACCCTCTTTCCCTTCATTTCATTTTCCTCTTAATCATCAGCTTCTTTCTATAAATATGCATTTCATCGAAACCTCCTTTCATTCATCTTATAAACCTCACCTAAGTCTTTGTGTTGTGTCCTCAAAATGGTTGTCACCTCAAAGAGAAGCACTACAAAAGCTACTAGTTTTAACCAACGTGATGATTCATCCTCAGTTGCATTAGTCCATGTTGAGCAACCTCAAGCTCTTTCTGCTGTTGCGCCCATTGTATCTTCTTATAATGAGAAGATACGTCCGGTTCTCGACGCTCTTGAAAATCTAAGGCGTCTCAACGTCGCCAAAGAAGGAATTCAGCTTCCAACCATTGTTGTTGTTGGAGATCAGTCCTCTGGAAAGTCCAGTGTCCTTGAATCTTTGGCTGGTATCAGCTTGCCGCGTGGACAAGGAATTTGCACAAGGGTGCCATTGGTGATGAGGCTGCAGAATCATCCAGTTCCACATCCGGAACTCTTGCTAGAGTTCAATGGAAAAACAGTTTTCACAGACGAAGCAAATGTTTCTGATGCGATCAACCTAGCTACTGAAGAGATTGCTGGTTCTGCTAAAGGGATTTCAAACACTCCTTTGACTTTGGTTGTGAAGAAGAATGGTGTTCCTGATCTTACCATGGTTGATCTTCCAGGTATAACTCGTGTTCCTGTTCATGGCCAACCTGATAATATTTATGATCAGATTAAGGATATTATCATGGAGTATATAACTCCTGAAGAAAGTATTATCTTGAATGTACTTTCTGCAACGGTCGATTTTACTACTTGCGAGTCTATTAGGATGTCGCAAACCGTTGATAGAACTGGTTTGAGGACACTTGCTGTTGTCACAAAAGCCGATAAATCACCTGAAGGTTTGTTGGAGAAAGTTACTGCTGATGACGTTAACATAGGCTTGGGTTATGTTTGCGTAAGGAATCGAATTGGCGAGGAGTCTTATGAAGAAGCCAGAGATGAAGAACAGAAGCTGTTTGAGTCTCACTCACTTCTTTCAAAAATTGACAAATCCATTGTTGGTATTCCTGTTTTGGCTCAGAAGCTTGTTCAAGTTCAGGCTATGATAATTTCGAAAACTTTGCCTGAGATTATTAAGAAAATTAATGAGAAGCTTGCTTCTAATGCTACTGAGTTAGAGAATTTGCCTGCTAACTTATCTTCTGTTGCTGATGCTATGACTGCTTTCATGCATATCCTTGGTTTGACTAGAGATTCTCTCAAAAAGATTCTTCTCACTGGTGATTTTGAGGAATACCCTGAGGACAACCACATGCATTGCACTGCTCGGTTAGTCGAGATGCTTAATTTATATGCTAATGATCTTGAAAACTGTGATGAAAGTGATGCTAAAAAGAATTTTCTGATGGAAGAGATAAAGGTTTTGGAAGAGGCCAAGTGGATTGGTCTCCCAAATTTTATGCCAAGAACTGCTTTTCTAACTATACTGCAGAGAAAAGTTAAGGGCATTTCTTATATGCCGATTAACTTCGTCGATAATGTTTGGGACTATCTTGAATCTGTAGTGATTTCAGTATTAAATAATCATTCTTCAAGCTATTATCAGCTTCAAGTTTCCACCCGTAGAGCAGGCGAGAAACTGATTGCTAAGAAGAAGAAGAATTCAATCCAACACGTGCTGGAAGCTGTGGAGATGGAGAAGCTGACAGATTACACTTGTAACCCTGAGTACTTGCTCGAGTACGGCAGGCTGGTAGCTCAACAAGAATCATTTATCAAGGAAGTTCTGAACACTGAACCAAAGCCTACTCATGTTAAGCTTGAAGGGGTTGGTGAGATTGATGTTGTGAACCTGAGGAACTATCCTCATGTGCTAAGTCAGGCTTTTGATTTGAAGGCTAGGATGATTGCGTATTGGAAGATTGTTTTGAGGAGGCTGATTGATAGTATTGCTTTGCATTTGATGTTAAGCATCAATGAACTGATTAACAATGATTTGCAGAAGGAGATTTGTAATGATCTTTTGTCTTCAAATGGTGGTGGAATTGAGAGGCTCCTTGAAGAGTCTCCGTCTATTTCTGGTAAGAGAGAGAAGCTGAGCAGGAGTGTTAAAGTTCTTAGAGAAAGTAAGGAGACTGTTACAAGAATTATGGACAGGATTGGAATCTATGATTAGAAACTTTGTCCAATGCTGGTGCTTTTAGGAACGTGTCCTTTATCATGCAGGTTTTCTTTACCATGAGTTTTTGTTTAAGAATAATTGTTGAGCTTCTACTAGTATTTTCAAGGTTTAATGGTTTATGTTTGTTTGAGTTTTTCTTTATGCTTTTTGTAATAAACGTTTTCTTCCCCTAATGCAAGGTATTGTTGTCCTACCTTTCCATTTTGTATGTTTCTTCAATATCAAAAAATGAGTAAGATCTATTCTACCCAAAGTTTACACATGCAATAACTCTAGAGTACAAGAGAGCTTTCTTGTACATTGTTCTTACAAATATATACAGTGCTTAAACCCCTCAAATACCCACGGGACAACAGCGAAAAGTACCTTTTTACAGTTGCTATTACCATCCAAGAATAATAATGAGAAATTATCGAGTATAGTTGTGAACTCGTCATAGCATGCTGATGTAGTGTTGAAAATGAAGCTAACTCTACAATCTGCCAAAATTTTGATCATATTGTGCTCAAAGCTCGGAGGAAATCTCATGAATATCATTGCCTAACATTGAGGGAGTGCTATGTGTAAGGATTCCTGTTGAATCATCTGTCCGGCTTGTGCTCAAACTATGTCCTTCCTTATTTTGATGTACGTCCCTCATAGCTTTAAACCTTAAATCTTGGGTGTAAGTGTTCCCTTCCGGGATAATATCTGGAATGCTTATTCTTCCTTCAAGCATGTTTACAACCTCTGACATTGTAGGCCTTAGTGACGGCGATGGATTCGTACACAAGAGAGCTACTTTTACCGTATTTTTTGTTTCAGTTGGGTTTACCTCTGATCCTAACCTCTCATCAACCAGTTGCATAACGTTTTCAGTCCGTTCCAGATATAGTGCCTGCAATATTCATTTTTGTTAAGATGCTTTTGCGCGATGAAAACGACAAATGTTTCCATCAATGACTATATAAAAAGGATGACTTATAATGGCAGACATGGATAAGATGTTGTATAGTAGAATACCTTATCTAAAAGGCAAACACAATTATCACTTGGCATGTAATTGTTATTACTTTTTCCACTAACAGTTTCCAAGACCACGACTCCAAAACTGTAAACGTCAGCCTTGTAACTCAAGTAACCCCATAAAGCATACTCCGGTGCCATATATCCTCTACAAAACATAGGTTATCATTCTTAGTCAAGAAAAAACTACATGTTGCATGATCAAGGGAGAGATAACTAACATTGTACCCGCCACTCGGGTGATGATATGAGTCTTATCCTCTTCGTCGAGCCTAGCCAACCCAAAATCTGATATTTTAGGGTTTAAGTTCCCATCCAGTAACACATTAGTAGCTTTTATATCTCGATGAACAACCTTGAGTCGTGATTCTTCGTGAAGAAATGCAAGACCTTTTGCTATGCCAATGCAGATCCTAAGCCTTGATGGCCAATCAAGTTTAAGCTGATTTTCTGAACCTATAGAATGTGCAAAAAGAAGTCATACTCAGATTTCATAGAAATTTCTCATAATGACACCCATTGTACTTTGTGTAAAAACTCACTGAATAAAGCATGGGCCAGGCTATTATTTTCCATGTACTCATACACCAATATTAATTGATCCCCTTCAATGCAACATCCATGAAGTTTCACTAGATTAGGATGCTGAAAACAAGATATCATGCCTATCTCATTTAAAAATTCATGATTTCCCTGCCGAGACTTCGAGGAGAGCTGTTTGACTGCTACCCATGTACCATCAGATAATTGACCCTGCAATTCAACGGTTGTTTAGAATTTTACATGATGGAGATAAACCAAACTTTTTGTGTTTTGAAGGTAGTATTTTCACTCAAATACCTTGTAGACAGGACCAAAACCACCTTCTCCAACCTTATTAGCAGGACTAAATCCATCTGTGGCGGCTCTAATTTGTTTTAATGTAAATGTCCTCATATGAAAATCTTGCCCTTTGAAAACTATAAGATAAAAATATAAAAAAATAAGTATTTCTGAGCACAATCAGGTTTATTTTATATAGATACTTCATTTACATGGTTGAAAGTAAAATAAATTATTATCTCCTATCCGTAATTCAAGAAACTCGCCTTTTTCTCTTCTCTTAATTTCTTTAATGTAGCCTTTCCTCCAAAAAATGCCTACCACAATAAGGACTAGACATAAAGCTGTAACTCCAAATCCTACTCCAATGACTACTTTACGCCTTCCATCATTCTTTTGGTCTGAACAAGGTTTAGAATCTGGAAGAAAAACACGAGTTATTCTAGTTATCCAAAAAAACAGAAAATGGTACAGATTATTTAAGTCCGAACCATGTTTCAGGACAAGTTAAAGCAAGATATCACTCACCGGAAACAATAGAGAAAGCTGATATAAGAGGACCATAAACTCCACTAACAGGAATCCTTGTAGTCCCCTTGCCAGCCCAGTAGAATCGAATCTCCAAAATACCGTCTGTTACAGTCACGTTATATGTTGATAATTTACGCATTTTTTGAGCAAGGTGTGGCTTGTCTTCAATATCAAAATCCTTCCAAACTAATACTCCCTGAACATAGATATTAAATAAGCGCCTTCCAAGACTTCTAAATGTTTTATCATTTGAAAATTGTATTTCTGCAAAGTGGAGATGCACAGTATATTTCCCATTTTCCAAGCAATAGTGAAAATAAGTAAGCGTAATGGGAGATGCGCGAGCCGTTTTATATAATTCCGGCAAACTTGAAGATGACAACGACCTTGAGTAACGCGTATTTTGGAAATCACCGTCATCCATGAAGTCCCCAGTGCTACTAAACCCCCAGTGGTTTTCATGGTCCTTAAAAAGTTTAGCAGCACCGCCTACGACATATCCATCTCCAACATAGAGAATATCGTCACCATTTTCCCTCACAGTTATATCCTTTCCTCCACAGCTAACGTGTAAACAAGTTGAATCTGCAACGATTGAAAAATACCATAGAACAATTGTGCATCAACCATGATGCCACTTCCAAGATGGTAGGTTATCCGAGACTTGATAAAGTAGAAAAAAAAATTCAAAGATAGAATAATATATACTTACATCTAGGACATTTGAAAGCTGTTGAACATGGAAGAATCCCTTGTCTGTCAAGAAACAAGAAAAATAGTGATATCACTAGTTAAACTCCAATTGTCAACATACTTTTACTCAAATTATTAAGACAAAGGAAAAGTTAAAAGATAGGGTCTTACAATGCATTGGTCCCTAAGGAGCTCCGGAACATGTTTAGATTTAAATTCCTAATCAAGTTAAACAAGGTGAAAAAATCATCAGTTTTATAATCATTTCAAATACGATGATACAGAGATATAATAATAGTTATATATACACAATTTTTGTTACAATAGTTTTATACTGCATCCCTTTAAGATGATAAAGACACATTCCAACGCACTTTCTGTATATTTATTTTCCAAAGCTAGAAAGAAGTGTGAAGAAAGTGTAAGAATTATAGTGTATGAATAACCAAATCCTAGGAATAATTATTGCAAAAGACTTTGAGTTCATACAGATAATCTCCACAAGACGATTTCTCAAGTCCTTGATATGTAAAGTTGTTGTAAGAAATATCACTGCACCAAATATTAGAAGAAAAAAAGAGTGAGTGTGCAAGAATTTGGATCTCTAGCTATCTCCCTCCATCCACTAATAGAAAGAATAACAGACCAAATACACTTAAATTTCAGCATTAAATGACAGTACTTTTCAATGTTTAAGTAGAAATGATTGAAGCAAGGAACATACACATTGCTTCCGGCCATCAACACTGAGTCAGGTACGTTACCACTTAGCTTGTTGCCAGTTAAGAAGCTGAAAATAAGCAATTGAAACTTGATTACAATTAAGCACTTCAACTCAAGACAACAATACAATGCATTTCAAACTACAGAATATACTGTGATACTACTAATGCACATAAATATACATACAGCTGTCACTTAAGTATTATACTATAGACTAGACAATATAATACAATACAATATATTTCAAAATTTAGAGAAGTGTACTTACAGAAATCTCAAATGTCCCACATGAGCCCTCGCTGGAATTTCACCAAACAAATTATTGAAACTGAGATCCCTATAAAATTTGTAAAAATAGTATAAATTATTGAAACAAGGTTACACATAAATTTCAAATGGTTTACTTACAACATTTCCAAATCCTTCATTGTCCAGAAATAGCTAGGAATCTCTCCGGTAATATTGCAATTCCTCAAAACCCTAAATTAAAAAGCCTGAATTACTTTAAATCAAACAACAATAGCAGATAAATGTACCAGCTAGTTTTTAACATAAAACCAAACATACACTCTTATCATTCCTGTCATGTTGCTTAAAATAGGAATATCCTGACTAGGACCATTGATGTCACTAATCCTCCTATATCATAATTTCCATCACAAGTCAATATATAAAACCGGTAAGATGAACTAGGGGGAGAACATTAAAGAAACTAAAAAATTAGTAGGCTTTCGGTTCTCACTTACAGTTGAGATAAATTAGTCAAAAGCGATATATTTGACGGGATAGGTCCCTCCAGTCCACTTGCATGCATTTCTCTTCATTGATGTACATTATAATGAGAATAATAATGTTAAGATAAACATAAAGTAGACATGTATCTATTGTGTAAAGTTACAAAGATATTTGAAGAGAAGAAAAAAAGTGATTGCAATCTCACAGTCTCTGAAGCTGTTTCCAATTCTGTATGAAGCTCGGTATTTTTCCGTTGAAACTATTATCATTTATCCTACTGCAATGCACCAAAAATCGGTATTGATCAGGGAAAGTGTCAATATTAATTTTCTGAGATAAAACAGTTAAATCAGAACTTACAAATTTGTCAAATTCTGTAACTGAGAAAATGTCAATGGCAAGTTCCCGGACAATTTATTGGATGATAAAATCCTGCACAGGTAATATTGCACATAAAAACCACTAGATACACAGATTGTTTTATAATGAAGCACTAACATACACACGGACACGACACTGATACGTAGAAATTCCTAATAACTTAAGAAATTGAGAGTGATAGAATGTAAGCTAAGCTTATAACGGTAAAAAACATGAATCTCATTTTCTTACAAAGTCTGCAGGTTAAGTAGACTTCCAAGTTCAGCGGGAACAAGACCGGAAAATTGGTTTGCTTCAAGGTTCCTGATGTAAGGCCATAATAAAAGAATGAAAAGAAAATTTCTCAACAAGAATGTAAATAATGCACTACAACATTGATAACATTTAAGGAATTTTAGCTAGGTATATGATAAGTCAGTACACGAGTAGCTTAATAATTGAAGCTTTCAATCAGATCAGAACGATATAGGAATATACACAAGGTAATCTTAACATTCCAAAGGCCCTGTGTAGGTTAGTCACGATTTAACTGTGGCCAAACAAATAGACTCCTATTTTGACACGATTTAAGTGTGATAAATATTTTATGAAGTCTTATTTAGCCACGACTTAACTATGTATCCATTTGCTTCCGCGTTGAAATGTGTCTAGACGTGCGTATCGGCAAAAGCTGGGAATCTTAGTTTCTAAAAATCACGTAAATAATACTGTTATGATTGTATCTCTGTGTGTCGAATATGATCACACAAGGTGTATATTTATATGCAAATAGTTAATGTACAAAAGGAAACAATATCAATTACAGTAATTAGTAATTGAATATCAATCAATCCTAATTGATTGATAACAAATTCTTAACACTCCCCTTCAAGTCAGATCGTAGATATTGTATGATCCGAGCTTATTACAAATATAATTCACTCAAGAATCCTTTAGAGACTTGGTAAACATATCAGTCAATTGGTCTTCAGATTTGACAAATTTTGTGGTTATTTCTCTTGAAAGTACCTTGTCTCTTACATAGTGACAGTCTATTTCTATGTGTTTGGTCCGTTCATGGAAAACCGGATTGGACGCAATGTAGAGTGCCGCTTAATTGTCGCATATTTGTTTTGTGGTTTGAAGGTCACAGAACTTAAGTTTTGAGAGCAAATTCTTATGCCATGCAAGTTCTTTTGAGGCTGCCATAGCATGATATTCAGCTTCAACACTAGATTGTGCAACTGTGTTTTGTTTCTTGCTCCTCGATGAGATCATATTTCCTCCAATAAGAACACAATATCCAGAAGTGGATCTCCTATCCGATGGTGATCCTGTCCAGTCTGCATCTGAATAACAAATGATTTTAGCATCACCCTTATCTTCATATAACATGCCTCTTCCTGGTGCATTCTTTATATATCTGAGAATCCGAATAATTGCATTTCAATGAGTATCACAAGGAGCATTCAGGAATTGGCTCACAATGCTCACTGCAAAAGTAATATCTGGTCTGGTGACGGTAAGATAATTGAGTCTACCCACTAGACGTCGATATCTTCCCGGGTCTTTCAACAGATCCCCCTGACCCGGAAGAAGCTTGACGTTGGGATCCATAGGAGTATCAATCGGACGACAATCAATCATACATGTTTCAGTTAGGATGTCTAATGCATACTTACGTTGGTTAATTGCAATGCCTGATGAGGATTGAGCAACTTCAATACCTAAGAAGTTTCTAAGTGGACCCAAATCTTTTGTCTGAAAGTTTTTGAAAAGATGAGTTTTGAGTCGCTGGATACCCTCTGTATCGTCTCCAATGATAACAATGTCATCAACATAAACCACAAGAAAAATACGCTGACCGATGGAAGAGTGAAGGAAGAACAAAGAGTGATCTGCTTCACATCTAGTCATACCAAACTGTATCAAGGCAGAGCTTAAGCGACCAAACCAAGCACGTGGAGACTGTTTCAGCCCATAAAGAGATCGATGAAGCCGACAAACAAGGCTTGAATTACCAGGAATAGTAAAACCGGGAGGTTGATCCATATACACTTCCTCCTCCAATTCTCCGTGTAAGAACGCATTTTAATATCCAACTGATGAAGCGACCAATGATTAATAGCAGCCATTGCAAGGAAGAGACGGACTAAACTAATCTTGGCTACTGGAGAAAAAGTGTCACCATAATCAAGGCCAAATATCTGTGTGTATCCCTTGGCGACTAAATGAGCATTAAAACGATCAATCTGACTGTCTGGTCCAACTTTCACTGTATAAACCCATCGACATCCCACTGTAGTTTTGTCTGAAGGCAAAGGAACAATCCCAAGTGTTATTTGAATGCAATGCAGCCATTTCTTCTACCATCGCCCGACGCCAATTGGGATCAGTCATAGCTTCACCTGTAGACTTATGAATAGACACAAAATCCAAAGCAGACACAAAAGAAACATAGGAAGTAGAGAGACGGTCATAATTTAAAACACAAACATATTTAGGATTTGAATTATGAGATCGAATACCTTTTCGTAATGCTATTGGAAGGTCAAGTTCAGGTGACGTAGCTGGAGGAACGGTTGGAGTAGGAGATGGTGTTGGTGGATCAATATTATCTCTAACTTCCGATGGACGCGGTGTGCGTCGCTGATATACCTGCAAAGGAGGTTTAATAGGTGTGAGGATGACAAAAGGGATATCTTGATCATCTAAATTACAAGTCTCATCGGGTGACGAAGAGACAGAAAAAAGGGGAACCTTCAAAGAATGTAACATCGGAGGAGACAATGTACCGTTTAGCGGAAAGTTTGTCTTTACCTGGACTAAGATCATGAACAAAGCATGTGCAACCAAACACGCGAAGGGGAGTAGGGTAGAGATCATATTGCGGATTCAAGATAGAGTATGGAATCTTGTCTTGAAGGACCGATGAAGGCATTCGGTTGATAAGGTGACATGCGGTGAGGAGAACATCACCCCAAAAACGAGAGGGTACATTGTGGTGAAGTAAAAGAGTTCGTGCGGTTTCAACTAAATGACGATTCTTCCGTTCAGCAACACCGTTCGGTTGTGGTGTATGAGCACATGATGATTGGTGAATAATTCCCTGTAATGTTAAAAAAGATTGAAACTGGGATGACATATATTCACGAGCATTATCAGTGCGGAAAATTTTAATGGAAGTGTTAAACTGGTTTTTAATTTCAGCGTAAGACTCTTGGAAGATACGGAAAACATTTGAACGATTTTTCATTAGAAATAACCAAGTGCATCGTGAGTAACTATCAATGAAAGTTACAAAGTAATAGTATCCTAAAATAGACTTCACACGACTAGGACCCCAAATATCAGAGTGAACTAAAGCAAAAGGTGATGCAACACTTTTATTTACTCGTTGACAATAAGTATTACGAGTATGTTTTCCTAATTGGCAGGACTGACACTCAAAAGACGAAAGCTTAGAAAGACTAGGAACTAAAAGACGCATTTTATTAAGACTAGGGTGACTCAAACGTTGATGTGTGAGTTCTGGAGAGGCAATAGAAGCACATGCCACCGGTGGAGAAAGATGATATAATCCTCCATTCACTCTCTGCTCGAATCGTCTGTCTTGTACGTCGATTTTGGATATAAACATAATTATCATTAAAAAGGACTGAGCAATCAAGAGTGCGAATAAGCTTGTAAACAAATATTAGATTAAAGGGACAACCAGGAATGTAAAGAACAGACTCTAAAGACAAGTTTGGAAGTGGATGTGCCTAACCAAGGCCTTGAACTTTGATTTTAGAACCATCCGGCACAGTAACAGAAGGCAGGGAATCAAAATAAGACAAGTGAGATAAAAGAGATTTATTACCAGTCATATGATCAGAGGCACCAGAGTCAAGGACCAAGAGAAGATGTAGAGACAAAAGGCTACAGGATTACTCGACTGAGCAACAAAGACAAATGATGATTGTTGATGGGCTGCTTTGTATTGAAGGAAATCATTGTAATCAGCAGCGGGAATAGTGACATCTTTAGTGATATCCGATTGAGCGATGGCAGCGATCCGTGGTTGTCGTTGTTGTTCTCTTGCCTTTGTACGACAATCGGCTTCAATGTGACCGTAACATTGCAATAGTTACAACGAATACTTTGACGTCCACCCCGTCCGCCGGTTCGTCCACCACGACCATGATAGTGGGAAGCGAGCGCAGATGATTCAGTGGGAGATGATGTAGGAACCGGTCCAAAAGCATGAGGTGTAGCCAAGCGTAACAGTTGTTCACTAACTGCTTCATAGTTAGGAACGTTGGTTCCTGATAAAATCTGATTCCGAACGGAATCAAGTTTAGATGGCAGTCCAGCAAGTGTCATGATCATGAAGTACTTACTTTGTTGTTGAGCATAAATTGTTGCATCTTTTGTAAAATGGCATTAAGATTGTGAAATTTACCTTTAACGCATCAAGCTTAGTCAGATAGAATTGCATATCCATATTCTCCAATTTCAAAGAGCGGAGTTTGGTGATGACACTGTAAAGATTATGGACATCATTTGAGAAGACTTACGTAGCTTTTTCCCAAACCTCATAGCAAGCGGTAAAGGCTCGGTACTCTGCTTGGAGATTAGTTGCTATGGAAAACCATAACACAGTGCATAGAGAAGCATCGGTTTGTTTCCACTTATCGCGTTTGGCAGTGGGAATAGTATTGACTTTTGTAGTTAAGTGATTATCATATCCTTGACCGTGAAACCACATCTTGACAGCATCGGCCCATATGTTGTAGTTGGTTGTTCCGCTCATTTTCTCACACGGAATAAGTGGAACCTTAGTGAACGTGACAGAGTCGATATCTCCCATGATATTTGATGGCTTGGAACGAAAAACCGAGAGCAGATCTGGAAAGAAGACCGGAAAACGAGTCTGGCGAGAAAAACGGCGTCGTTTTTGGATTCCGGTCGATCTGGAGATGACGGTTCCGGCAGTATAAGTGTCGCGCCGGAAAGTCTTCAGGAGCGGCGGCGACGTTGTGGGTGGCCGGAAAAAAAAGAATTTTGTGGAAGACAGTAGCTCAACCAGCTCTAGATACCATCTCTGTGTGTCGAAAATAATCACACAAGGTGTATATTGTACGAAAGAAAACAATATCAATTACAGTAATTACTAATTAAATATCAATCAATCCTAATTGATTGATAACGGATTCTTAACAAATATATTAAGATGCGATAATGGTATAGGAAACACCCAACCAAACCCACCATATATCAAATTTTGGGCCAGTGCGGTAGCCCGCCTTACACATTCTCAAAGGCGGTTCTGAATATACATATCACAAGTAATATAAAAACAGAACCCAGTTTCACAATTGAGTAAGAACTTAGATCTACACTAATCCTCAGAAGATAAAAATAAGAAAAATATATTTATAAAACTTACAAGTATGTTAAAGTGGTAATGTTTCCCAACTCCTTAGGAATCTCTCCTGACAAACGATTAACAAGTAGCGAGCTGCATAAAACGTCATATTTATTTAATACAAAAGGCAAGTAACTGAACAAAAATTTAAATTGTTTGATATGAACTTACATTGAAGTTAGTTCAATCGAACCCCATTCCTTCGGAATCGTACCATTTAGGTAGTTAAAAGCAAAGTCACTACAACGAATTGAGAACACATTTCATTTCAATCTTCAATTCAATTAGTGAAACTAAATTTTAAGCTTTTGTAAGGTGTTCATAGTTCTTACACTAGTTTGAGGTATGGAAGCTTTACCAATTGAGGCGGAAGCGTGCCGGGAAGGTTGCACCCCTTGAATTCACTAAACAATGGGAACTCATTTCAGAAAAATCAATGTTAATATTAAGAAATGTAGTTTGAGTCTAACCCTACAAAAATGACTTCTAAGGTGAAGATTACCCCACTTATAAGTATATATTCAAGCCATATATTATCTGATGTAAGATTCTTATCACACACCCTCACATCCAGAACTAAACATCTGGAACGTCGAAATAAATTGTTTAGTCTAATTCAACCTTACAAAATCAGCTATATGATGAAGATTGTCCCTATTTATAAGCACATGTTCAGGTCATATATTTTCAAACGTGAGACTCGTAACCAAATATTTCATATCTATAAACTATACGAAAACAGAAGGTTTATTATAATAAACTTGTAGCTATAAGAGAGAATGTGAGATAAAGAGATGTTTACATCCTTACTACGTGACAGAAGGTGTCATTTTGAGAAGAGCAATCACAGGCAATGCTACTTTGGCATCCATCAGGTGGTTTTTTAGTTAAACCAAGCATTTGAATTTGACATGAATCACCATCAAATTTCCAGTAGGTTGAACCCATTGTACTAGTGATTTCTTCAAGAGCATCAACTGATAAATCAAAACACAATATATATATGGATCAAACAACATGTATGATTGTTAACAAGATAAAAAGTACTAGTGCAGAACTAAAATGGGAAAGTGATCCTTACGCTCTTGCTGTGGAAGTTTAGATTGTGCATAATGAAGGAAACAAGTAAATGCTATGATTGAGAGAGTGAAGAAGATCTTAGATAGCATCTTCAAAGAGAGAGATTTAGGGTGAGTTGAGAAATTTGGCAAGGAGAGAGACTATACATTAACTGTTGTTGCACTTTATTTCATTGAAATTTCAATGGTGGATAACTAAAAGCACATAGACTTCATTTTTTTTAGGACACTTATTTTTTATTTAAGAATCTAAAGTGCACACAGACATTGACATAGTGCAATACATATCTATAAAAAAATGACACAAATAGATAAACGGTGTCTTCGGACCATAAAAAGCATACACCGGAATGTAAACAATAATATAATACTAAGTAGAATGGATTACGTATTTCATAACTCATTTTTCACTTTTTTATATTCTTCTACTCAATAATTTAACGGACATTTAAATTTTCCTCATTATTTTTATTATATTTTATATTTTATATTTTTATTTTTATAATTTTATATTAATATCAATTATTCATTGAAATAAAATTAAAATTAAATATTTTTTTAAATTTAATAATTTATTTTAATTTTTTCTAATTTTATATTTTTAACTTATTTGAATTTATTTTTCTAATTTTATAAGGATAGTAATTATTAAAACAAATAAAAGTAGATAAAACAAGAGTTTATTGGAGGTTAAATAAAAATTATAGAGAGAAAACGTGAATTTTTTTGTGTCTAAATCAAATGAACCAAATATATATTTATAGACAAAAAAATGATGAATTTTGGTGACAATAAAAATAAATAAATAATTGATTTGTTATAAAATAATTGATTTAAAATAATTAAGGTGAATTAAAAATCTAAACAATCACAACAACTAATAAGATTTTGTAAAGATTTATACGTGGTCTCATTCTCTCTTCATTCAACATGTTAAATATTTTCAACACATATTAATTCATCTCACTTTCAATCCTTTATTTAATACTTCATTGCACATATTCAACTATTGAATAATTTTTTCAACACTCTCATTATGTATAGTCTAATATATAATAATAAAATAAGTCACGTCCATTACACTTATTTTAAATTTAAATGGAATATATTTAAATTTTTTTATATTATTTTATATTTTTCAATTATTTAAATATTCATTTTTTAAAAATATTTCTATAATTAAATTTAAAAGTGAATCGAATTGAGTCAAACTCATCTTAAATTAATTCAGATCGACATGAATTTTATTTTAAATTCAAATTCAACTCAAGATAAATTGGCGTTTACACTTGCTTTTTATACATAATCTCCAATTCAATTGACGTATCAATCAACTTATCATACAATGTAGTCGATTCAATTGTCGTCTTCATATACATTCATCAATTCAATTAACGTTAATTCTATTTTTTGTTTTTATATACAGTCATTAGTTCAATTAGCGTTAATTCTATTTTTTAAATTGAATTAGCAAATGGATTGGTATGTGGTATGCATTGTCAATTTTTCTAAAGCATGGGTATTTTAAAATTTTCTGAAAAATTTTAGTTACTTGAAAAAATTTAATTTTTTTAAATTATTTTGATTAAAAAGTTCACTCTACAAAATAATACTCCCTCCATTCTTTTTTAACTGTTATTCTAGAAGGGCTTCTTTTTTTCATTTAAATATCATTTTTATAATTTAATGTAATAATTTGTCACTTATATTTTTATTTTCTCAATAACTTTACTTCATATTTTTTATAAAATTAATTATATTATAAAAAATATGTGTTTAAATTTATTTAAAAAGAAAAAATAAATGTGATAAAATAATACTTAAAAAGAAACACAGAGAATAGTAAATAATAGTGTTTCAACATATTCTCCCAAACAGGTTATAAAACAAATTAATATTTCACTCGTATTAAAAAAAGTATACCTAATCATTTGTAATGATCATTTTAATGTTTCTCTTAATAAAAATATGAAAAGACAATCAATACGAGTTAATCATTTACTTGCACCGTAATGATTTATAAATAAAAATTAAATTTTTATATTTATTAAGAAAATTTAAATGTTTGTATTTTTTTTTTTTAAATATATTTTATAGGAAGGTGTAAAAATAATTTTAATTAGTTGTTATTTATAGAAAAAAATGAAATAAAGTATATTTAATGCAGTTTGTATTTAATTTTACATTAGAAAATATATATTTTGAAAAAAAAAACTTAAATAAAATTAAATTGATATCTTTTTACTTATAAATTATAATAAAAAAAATGTGTTTTTTCCTTATAAATAGTTAATAATTGTTTAGTTTTATTAAAAGACAAACAATACCGGCTCCTGACTATCACTTAGCTAAAGATAGTAAGAGAGATATTATTCCACCAAAGAGATATAGTGGTATGATAATCGTATTTATTGTGCACTAAATGCAACTTTAAGAACTTCACGACTCAGGCAGTGTTTTGTGAAAATAAGTTTATAATAGTAGGTGATAATGGATAGTTAATGTTTGATAGTTGATATTTGCTAAATGATTAGCAATATGAGGTGATTTGTAGGGTAATAATATGTTTTCTTTTTAAATAATAAAGATATAAATGAAAGAAAAATAATAATTTCGAAAGTTATTTCAAATAGTTTTTGATAAAAAACTATAAATTAATAAGAAAAATTAAAAATCAAAAGCTAAATAATGTTACCAAAATTTTTTATCAAAAAGGATTGAAAATCTAAGAGTTTACTTTTTTTGTCTTATCAAACAGATTTTTAAAATCAAAATAATATTTGAGATGTATTTTTTAATAAAAAACAAGATTTTAAGGAAATATGTGATGTCTTTTTGCTTAGAAAAATGGAGGTTAAACAGTTTATAAGTGAGATGACTCATATATCTATTGTCTTAAGATTTTTTAGAAAAATATGTTATGTCTTTTTCACTTGTGTGTTGCTCTTAACTCACTCTAGATGTTCTTCATGATGACTCAATAGTGGTATAATAGAGAATTGTTCCATTAAGGGTCTAACTCTTATATTGAAAATCTTTGACAAGGTGGTGGTCAAACATTTGTTCCGTTGTAGTTCTCAAACGGCGTACAAGTATATATATATATATATATATATATATATATGAAAAAGTTTCACACTTAAGGGAGAGATTATTGAGAAACAAGTGTGAGTTTTATAAGTCCAACATTCACTACTATAAAAAGTGTTTTTAACTTCGGACGTTAAATGTGTTTTACCTCGACTATATAAGTGAAGTAACGAAGAGCGTCATAAAAAGTAATGATTTAACACCTTGGTTTATAAATCATCGAGAGGTAAATTATTTGCGCATGGGTTTGAACCTCACTATCTGCATTTTTATCATTTTATCATTTTTTATCAATAAAATTGAAAGGTAAATTATTATTTTTTAATTAAAACTCGTTACATTGTTTACACAGAAAATTAATAAAATAAAATAAATAAAATAATTTGTTTACAAACTACAATGTTTACTCATAATATTACATTGTTTACACATATTGTAAAATAAAAATTAATTGTCCATGAAGATCATATGTTGGATTTTCAATTTCTTGATATTCTGGGAAAGATCAAATGTTGCGTGTCAATATATTTTCTATTGATTTTCCTTGCATTTGTTTCTAATATAAACAAAAAAAAAGAGTTAGATAAATAAATGATTTTTTGCTCAAATAAATATTTAAGAACACAAACCTTAAACTCAAATAATTTTTGCTCTTGCAATCCATCATAGAGAAATCTTTTTGGCAAAGACTCTTGTAAACCTTAAAATGAAGGATAATTTCAAGCGCTTCATGATGATCATTATCAATTTTTTATATTCATAATGTTTTTATAATGGAAGTTAGTTATGTTTCACGCTGATCACTAATGATAGTGTCTTGAGCGTTGATAGTCATGAAATGGACAACAAGGATTTGATTAAGGAAGGTGATAAATATCTTCAATTTTAACGTTAAATTGTTCCCTCAGTTTATAGGAAAACCGAGGTGTAAAATCTTGTTTTTAAGTTACATTGTTTACACAAAATATTGAAACACAATATTACAACAAATCCAGATTCTTGGAGAACATCAGTGTTATATGGATTGAATGCATCCAACCATTGAAAATAAATTGTTTACAACAAATCTTTGGTGGAATCTAAATTTTGTTGCATATCCAAAAAAAAAACAATTCATAATTTATCCAACTTCTGATAAGTTATTTGTTTCCACTATGAGAATTTTTATTTTCTGTACATGCAATCTATCCCAGAGTTTTGTTCTCAAGCGTTTCTAGATCAAAAATTTCAATGGCAATGAACAGTGGTAAACATTTCCTCTTTTGGTGCGGCTACATATAAATTAGTATTAAGGTAAAATTTATTTAACAACTATTTTATAGTAAAATCTGATTATTTTACCCCTCGATTTTATAAGAAAACCGAGGTACATAAGCTTCTGGTTTTAACTATCACCTCGGTTATTACAAAATATTGAGGTAAAAAACTATGTGTTTTTTTGCAGTTACATTGTTTACACAAAATATTAAAATAAAATATCTACAACAAATCTTTGCTCTTGTGAATGAATATCTTCACTGATATACATCTTCTGATCAGTTAAGCTCCCTTCTCTGTTTAAATTTTCAAAGATTGAGCTCCCTTCTTTGCTTAACTTGAAGTAAGATAGATTTTCTACACTTAGAGTCTATCAAATTAGCAAAAATACAACAACAACAACAACAACACCATTATGTGAGATAGATTGCAAGACAGAAAAATATTTTATTTTATAAGAACATTGAATATTTTTTTGGTCTTGCAATTTATCCCAAAGAACGATGCATGCGAGTTTGCGGCGGCTTCATATAAGTAAGGATTAGGGTAAAATTTGTTTGCTTTAATAGTGAAATCTGATTATTTGATCCATCGGTTATATCGAAAAATTGAAGGGTTGGTTGATTTAGTTTACACTTATAAACAAATAAAAATATAAACTGCAAGAGTTGAGATTCAAAATGTGTCTTGATTTATTTTTCCCCTCAGTTTACTTAACAACTGAGAGAATATTTTATTTTTAT